ATTGCTAAGCAACTGTAGCTGTTTTAACATACGCTACCACGCTACGCTATTGCTGTTCACGCAGCTCGCATTCGCTAGCGCTATCTTGGCTTCGTGAACCAAGCTAGTAGCGTTAGCGTTGATAGTGCGATAGCGAGCTCCCCGAACGCACCCATAGGGTGCGTTCGGGGAGACGCTATTAGCGCTATTTAGCGCTATCGACTGTTCACGGAGCTAGCTGGTAGTGCTACCAAACGCAATTATGACGTCATTAATAGTAGTGTGATACGTCATAACTGCGCGCTATCAACGCTATTCCTTCCGAGGTAGTGTGTTGGTAGCGTTAGCGTTTGCGAGCTCCGTGAATAGCAATAGCATAGCGTGGTAGCGCGCTTCTGCTAATAAAAATGGAACAAGATCGTAAAAAAGCAATATTAACAGCAGTAGCACTTATAATGCAAGAATTAATAGATTCATCGTCTGAGAGTGATGATGGTGAAGAATGAAAAATTATAGAATAGGAGTATAAATGTAAGAAAACATGTACCATGTCTCAAGCATTAAAAATTAAAATTATCGGCATTTCTCACATTTTCCGTTGAATTATCAGATGAATGTTTGTAACAAAATTAGGTGTTATTATTTCCAACTAGTTTAATATTGGACAAAAGATTTATAATTGGACTGGATCTTTGCCAGCACACGTAAGCAATCCAGCAGAGAAAATAGTACCGAGTGCCACGGGTTTTAGATCTACGAAAGAAAAAGATAAAACTAACCAGATACCTTCTTTGTCATCTCGCACGCTTTGCAAGAGTGCGTTCAGAAACTACACCCAGAGTGAAAGTTCTGTTTATTGTCTGTAGTATACGTAACGTATACTATATATAATAAACAATTCCCCCAGAGTAGTTTCTAAACGCACCCCTACATGACGTTCCAATTTATCAAGTTCAATGGATCTAATAGATATGTATATATTTTGTAAACAGTGTTCAGCAGTTTCATATGTGCGATGTTTGATGAATTTATTAATTAACTATATCTATTAAGTACTGATAAGATTGCGATAATTTGCTTAATGACGGAAGAAGTATTATCAGTTAAAACAATTTTTTCAAATTTTGTGGAAACGCGCAAATAAAATACTAGAAAGAAAACTAAACTAAAAAATAAACGTTTGTACCGTGTTATCAAAAATATATAACAGAAAATCTGCACAGTCAGCATTTTGACGTCAAATTTGAATTAAGCAGCATTGGTTTTGTGTACTTTTAATAAATTCTATTGAAATATACTAATATTATTTTCGACTTTTGTCGATTTCATGAAATTATGTGCACTTCCATCAAAAATAAGGTAAATTTTAAACTTTTATGCCGTTATTGATGTAATAATTTTACAAAAATTATTAACATACCATTTATGTATGTTTATATAGGATTCTCAATCATGTGATTCAGTGCAGTACATCAAAAAGCTGTGCTGCAATGTCTTGCGATATGTGATTGTGCAGCTGCATCTTCTTTTTGATTACTTTGTAGATTTTGTTTTTGGCTTGTACTATAATCAGCAAGCAAAGAAAGTACCACCAGTGAAAAACAATCTATTGTTAGAAAGTGCTGTTTCTTTAGCAGAGAAAATAAGGTAGAGTTATTACTAATTCTATAGTGATAAGTATAATTTTGTTGAGATTGAATTAGGATTCTTAATTATATATAAAAAGATGTGTATACATTTACATATTTTATTTCAGGACAGGAGAAGTTACATCAGAAGAAGTTGTGAAGGCCTTTATTAAAAGATGCAAGGAAGTGAATAGTTTGATAAATGCAGTTGTGGAAGACAGATATATTGACGCGATTGAAGAGGCTAAACAAGTAGACACCAAGATAAAAGAAGGCATAGATTTGGAGAAAATAAAAATAACACAGCCCTTCTTAGGGGTTCCCTTTACCACGAAGGAGAGTAATCGGGTTAAAGGTAGACGTGACGGATAATGGTAGACATAAAAATATTTCAAATTTTTCTTTGGTATTAAAATTATAAGAAGTATAAGGAATAAAAGATATGAATAACATATCTTTTATAATTTACAAGAGATACAATTTTAGTATTCTGATTTAACAATAACAAATGAATTTAGCTGCGATTAATACGATTATTATTTCATCAGGATTAATCCATTCCTTGGGATTGCTCTGTCGACGTCACCATCGTTCCGAGGAAGATGCAACAACGATTCGCTTTCTTAAAGAGGCTGGAGGAATTTTAATTGCAACGACTAATGTTCCTGAGCTCAATTTGTGGCAGGAATCGAGAAACAATTTATATGGACAGACAAACAATCCTTATAACACCACTAGAACAGTGGGGGGTAGTAGTGGTGGCGAGGCAGCACTAGTAGCAGCAAGTGGTTCTCCGCTTTCTGTTTGTAGTGACATAGGAGGTTCCACTAGGATGCCTGCCTTCTTTAACGGTTTATTTGGGCATAAGCCCAGTGAAGGTTAATTGAAATTATTATTATTAAAGATATTGTTATTTCTACAATTTTGAATTACATTACATTGTGCAAAGAAAAATTTCTTTTTTAAGTGAAATGGATAAATGAGATTGAATAATATATTCACAGTAATCGAGAAAAAAATGTTAAACTGCATATTTGCATGTGTAGATATTAGTGAAATCCTGAAAGGCTTATATAATAATAATATTAATTTATTTAAATATTAATGCCATCAGGTTTGACTCCAGTGGCTGGGATTGGATTACGTGAAAACGATTATTCAGACACCATGGTGGGTGTTGGACCGGTTTGTAAAAAGGCTGAAGACTTAGTACCCACCCTGAAAGTATTAATAGGTCCAAATGTAAACAAGTTAAGATTGGATGAGCCAGTAAACTTGAAGAATCTGAAAGTGTTTTACCAAAAGAATTCTGGCGATTTGCGGGCAAGCAAAGTGAATAAAGATATGCAAAATGCATTAATAAAAGCGGTACAACATTTTAAAGAACTTACAGGTTCAGCGACAAAGGTAAGAATCTATAGATCTTGTCATTAAATTTATAGGATGATCAAAAGAAAAGGGATTTATTACATATATTTGTATTTTTATGAAAATTGATTTATTTTAATATTTAAAAAATTTTTTTTTATTTTTAATCGAATACCAAATACATGTGTGTGTGTGTGTTTATACATGTAAAAACATGTTTATGTGTTATAGATTAAGATACCTGGTTCTGAGTACAGCTATAGAATATGGAGGTATTGGATGACTCGCGAAAACGTGAATTTTAAGCTGAACATAACGGATCGAAAAGTGAGTACAAGTTTTAAATATTCGCAATTAGATTTTTATAAATATAAACTAGTCAATAGAATTTATGCGAATTAGCAGTGCTTAAGTTTCACCCAATGCAAAACTCATATTTTACCACAGTAATTATATTACATGTTTTCATTCAAAAACGTTCACTTTGCAGTATATCGCTAGCGCGGGTGGAGAGATTTATAATCTACTTATTGGAAACTCTCAATTGACATTAGCTGCTATCATGAAATTGATAGATACGGACATTTTGCCGCAGGAGAACGCTGAATGGGCAAAGAACGTTACTGCAAAAGCAAAACACTTTTTGGAGGTAATTATTGTACAAGAAAGTCAATTATGTAGACTAGAATGTAAGAAAAAAGAGTTTAAAAATTTTTTTAAATTATATTTTATATTATTTTTTTTACATTATGCATATAAACCGTTACACATTTATTACGGAATTATTTTCTGCAGGAGAAATTAGACGACAATGGAGTGCTGTTTTATCCCTCATCGCCATATCCCGCTAACTATCACTATGCTTCGTATCTGAGACCTTTCAACTTTGGCTACACTTGTCTATTTAACGCTTTGCGGTTGCCAGTTTGTACAGTGCCATTAGGATTGAACAGCCAAGGCTTGCCGATTGGCATTCAGGTAAGATTTCTTATTGTTTTTATTTATTTTTTTTAGTAATGTTGCCTGTCAGCTTAAAGAACACAGATATAAAAATGTATTTTATATATTAATTTCCGTATTTCGCGCAGGATACTTTTAGCTTTCAGTTTCAGAGATATAAACAGTCACATTTAATTCCAGGTGATAGCAGCCCCGTACAATGATCATCTATGCTTTGCAGTGGCCAGGGAACTTGAAAAAGCATTCGGTGGTTGGGTTCCACCATCATGAATTGTGTAGAAGGTATTCTTTTTATTAAAAGGGCTTAAATAAGCTTACGTAGAATGGATTACAACTTTCGAACAATATCTATAGACTATATAATTGGGCTGTGGGAATAACTCAAACATATAACAAATATTTATTCATTAATATAAACATAATTTCCGATTATATGATATCAGAATTTCAAGTTTTATATATTATAATTGTTACAGTTAACTTTATTAGTAAGAACACACACACACACACAATTCTTTATATAGATTCTTGAAATAGAGAAATATACTGTTTTATTTTTTTATGTAGATTATATATATATAGATATATGAGTGACCAATCAATATGTACAATATATTGTACATTCAAACTTTAAACAATTTAAAACAAGAAATGAGCTTTCAAGTTTGAACAGTTCAAATGTATAAGGAATAATTGATCTGTAATGTCAATTTTTAATGTTTGAAGATTTTAACAAAGTTTGAACACATTAGAAAAAATTGAAGCCATGGCGAAATAGCATGGCAGGAACTGAAGTTTTTTATTTTTGCTTAATTTTATACAAATATCATTCCAAACTTTCAAACTTGAAGATAATTCGAATAAATTTAAACATACTCAATTCGAACAGTATTTGACGTTTGATCTTGAGATCCAAATTGTCAGAACTGTTTGACTATTTAAATTTTTAAGCATTTATTTTTATTAATGCTTATACATTAGTTTTCATGAAAAAAAATTCAAAATACTTATGTTATACTTCTATATAATATATATAATATAATGTATTCTGTATAACTTTATGTCTACTGTTTTAGTTGCCTCTTCCACTTTATAAAAAATTAGATATACAAAAAGGCATTATTCAAAATAACTCTTTAAAATTGTATCACCGATTCCCTTTTCATTTATTGCAACGATTACAAGCGCGTTCAGAGCAATGCATGCGGTAGCGAAACTTCCTTAATTTTGCGAAGTCGAAAACAGAGTGCGCATGTATGGAAATAAATTGTTTTGAATAATAGCGCCATTATTTCACTCACGCGCACTTTATTTCGGACTTCACGACATCACAGGCAGTTTCCCCACTATGTATCGCGCCATCTACGGCGTACGCGCAGAATGCCAACGGTAGCGGTAGGTGGCGACAGTGATGATGTTGGCAAGAGTGGTGGTATGTTACGCGCGGTGGAAGCGCGCGATCCGCGCGACCACTCCATTCACTTGTTGACCACCGTTCCGGTCGGTTGTGCGAATGCCGTGTATTTCCACGTCTGCGCTCGCGTTTCCACACTGTTTGCTTCTGATCGATCAACGCAACGCGATCGAGATACACGGCGCGATCTCCGCGGATCAAGTGATACGTGATTGTACAAGCGGTCAGTGCGTTAATGCATGGTGTGCGGGAATGTGTTATCGCTGCTCGACGGCCGCTATTGAAAAGTACAAGCCGCTGCCGCTCCTATTCGAGCGATTCTTGTACGTGAGAAGGATCTACACTTCGTGATCCACGACGGAGATGACGGTCGCTGGAAAGGTGAGCCTGCCGGATCTAGCTATCGATTCTCGCCATCATGTTTCTCGTGCTTTCAAGTGACGTGTCGGGTCTGATTTAGACGTCGTAGAACGTCAGCTGCGGAATTTTTCTGATAAATCTGTACCGTTCGAAGTTTTTTTTTTTCCAAGGAAAGCGCCTTGGAAAAAGCTGGAAATATTTATTGCTCTCGAACTTCTCGTTTTGTCTTTCAGGAATTTTCAGCATTTGGATTGTTCAGCGCTTGATATTGTTTACAAACAGCAATTAATACTTGATTAATCGGTATTTTGTATCTTACGGACGTGATTAACGTAACTGCACTGAATTGCATTCGTTCTCAGTTCGAAATTGGACATTTTCAAAAATGACAATTTATTTAATTATATTTAATATCCAAATGTCGAAGAAATATCTTTCCCTACAAAATATGTTTACTATAACGTAATAGATTAAATTTTAACAAATTGAAGGATAAAATGTAGATGTTTCAATTATGTTTCCTTTTCAAAATTAATTTTGCATTTCATTAATTTTTTATGTTCCACAGCAGTTATATAAATATCTCTTCGTACACTTTTATCCCGGATACGTTGAAAATTTCGATATGCACAAACTATCGTGTTATCGCCCATCTTGTGGCGTGATGCTATACGCCGTAATCGGGCTGACGTTAAACGTGACTATAATTATCCGCGCGATTAAGCTGTCATCCGGTTTACATCGAATCATTATTCTGTCGCTAATTGGTCGCCCGATATTGCTGATAATTTAGCGATACGCAAAGACATGCGGTGGCGAAATTCTGAATTTTCCTCGAGAATGTCATATTGTTCTACGTTCACGTTGTACAATTGTACAAATGTGCTAACAATGATAAAGCCAATTTGTAGATGAATTACGACATACACAAATTTTTGTCTAGAGCGTTTCTTAAAACAGTCCGACGTTCTTTTACGCACGAAATGTTTTGATGAATTTAGAATCGAATTTTTCGCAACTGGAGTTTCAATAAGAGTCTTTAACAAAAGTTTCGAAAAGCAAAATTTGCAATGAAGTTATATTCTTCTGCCATTTTGTGGCTCATTTAATAAACTTTGACAAAATTAATAAGATTTAACTTCGTAAACTTGTCGTATTAATTACAAAGTTATACAATCATTAAAATCGATGCGATCTATAATGATTTTCACTGAAGAACAATTATCTCCGAAATAACAAAGCAATATTCGATAATGCTCGATAATTAACGATGTTCTATATATATATATATATATATAATATTGCTTAACGGTGGAAAATATTTCCCCAAAACGAAGAGAGAACGATTGCGGTCGAATAATCGTGTTCGGTGAACGCGCGCTCTCGAAGGCTCGCTTCCGTGTTGGGATACTTGACGTTCTGGCCTTTCACGCAATCGCGAGAGAGCATAGCAAAGTGGACAGCCGCGATCGGCTCACATTAATCACTCGAAACTCGGCTCGCGCCAGTCTGCTTGGTTGGAAGTGTGTCGAATCCGGTTGACTCTCGCACACCACGCCTTGGCAAGGATGAGCGCAGAAACGCGATTGCTACATAAAACGGATACGTTCTTTCCGGAGTAACAAGCTCTTCTTTCAGTAAAGAATATTAATCCAAATTTTTGTATTTATTGTAAACAAATATTTTTTTTATTCTATTCAATTTTGCTATATAATAATTAGAGAAACGTGTGAATATTTACATCAAGAGATTAATATCATTAAATTAAGAATCATTTTGTTCAACAATTATGTCAATTACTGTAATAATTGTAATCTGAGTCAGATTTCGCTCGAGTTTTGATGCAAAATCGAATTTTCGCGCAAAGAAATTGAAATTAAACCGACGACTTCTCGAATTCATTTCTTTGCGGTCAGCCTACAAAAAAAGACGGACATCTTTTTATACAGAATTTCAAGAACCAATTTTTCTACGGCTCCGATAATTGATCAGGATTCAGCAGAATTATATTAGGTTTGATTACTTCTACTTGCGTATGCCACGCATACGTCGTTGATCGTCACTCTTCATGTGTACTCGGTATGTTAGGTTAGGTTAAATCCGGGAGCGGTGGGCGACGACGCAAGGTTGAAGAAATTCGTCGTAGTACGCGTGTACTGCTGTCAGTTAGATTTCGGCCTCGCGAAATCCGTCAATGTTCAATTTTCCAACAAAACGATGCCGAATCTACAAATTTCCCAGCGAAATCGCGTATTTATAAATGATTCTTAATTAGGTTTGCAAACCCATCGCAATCATCTCGCATGTCGAAAAAACATTGCATATTTTTACGGTAATCGGCAAAACCCGGACAGGCAGGCTAATGTGCGCGAGACCGAGAAGTAGCGATAGAGAGCTACGATTATCTTTCTATCATTACCTGTCGCTCAGCATTTCAGTGGCGCTCAGCGTGAACGCGCCGCGGTAGCTTTCTTGTGTCCAGATTTCAATAATCAGCAATACAATTTTTTTTATATCATTTTATTTCACATTCCGAATTTATATTGCTACAACTGTCACATTATCACAACTATTTTCCACTTGACAAAAATATTCCACAGCGTAGAAAAAACAAATATCAAATTTTTGAAATATAAGCAACAATCGCGCTCATTTATTCCATTTTGGAATAAAAATTTATATCCTTGATAAGATAATAGATACTTTATTGAGATTGAATATGCTAATTTAAAATTTTTTACGAAACGTATCTTTGTTGCATAAATTTCTAGCTGTGTGCTTTTTTTTATATATTTTGAAACGCAGAAATTCTCATTGTTATTTTACACCTGTAGCATTGCGTCGTTGCCAGTGAAACAAGCGACTTTGATGATCGCTATGATGTCTCTTTCTCTTTCTCTCTCCCTCCCTCCCCCCTCCCCTCTTTCTCTCTCTCTCTCTCTCTCTCGCGCCTTCGTGTCTCTCTACTTTCACCTGGATCACCGCTAATGGTTACATCCGCCAACCTGGGAGAGCTATGCCCTATTTATGATAATTTCTCGAACCGGAGACGAGTCGTGTACGAATTTTTTTATACGACTATCTCAGCGAGTACTTTTAGCGACGATATTTTAAATAGAATGTGTTCGGAAATAAATATTAATCGAGTAGTAGAATATTTCTTGCATGTATATCAGAATTGAATTGTATTTAAAAGAAAATACGATGACTAATTTTTGTCGCAGCGCTTTCGATTTTAATGTTTCTTTAATTGCTTGCCCTTATTTTTTACATCGCTAATTCTTGAATGCAAGCTTTATGTTAAATACGATCTAAATTGGCTGATTGCAAGATTTTAAATATCTTTTCGGCATTATATACTTTGTAATGCAGAATTAAAAGTCCCAAAAGTATTAGCTTTGACAATTTGCTTCGTTTTATATCAGCTTATTAATTTGAAATTTTCTTTCATTACAACTTTGTTTGCTTTTATCACAGAGGTATGTGGACTGCACAGTGCTGGGTGCGGGCAGTATGCCGGACGCCGAGGATTCCTCGTACGACAGCGATTACGAAGCCGAGGATTCGGCGACAACGACGACGACGACGACGACGACGACGGCGCGGCGTTCGCGTGCCGAGTCACAGCTATCTTCAACGGCGCATCCGGACGTGTCTCGCACCACGTCTGACACCCTAGCGGCTGAGTTTGCGGAATATGTCACCATCCAAGGACCGTCGCCCACGCAAAACCCAGGTTAAGCCCCGTCGAATTCTCCTCAAATCGCTATGGCGAGAGAAATATATGTAACGTTCATCTAAACTCAATTTTTAAAATAATTCTAATTTTTACGGATGAGTATATGATAATCGATTAATTTGATTTTCAACTTTTTATTCTTAAACCACAATTGGAATCCTTTCCTCACGCCTCTTTCACTAATTTTGCCCGAATGCGGGATTAAGTGAAAGAAAGAAGATACCATATCATGATTCTACCTTTCACTTCGCTTTCTCACTCAAAAGTCAAGCGCATCATTTTTATTCTGTGCGTGAGTGATTAGAATAAAAGTAAAGGTTGAAGATAAAAGAATCCATTCGGTTCGCGTGAGGTGAAGAATGCTCGAAGAATGCGAATGCACGGGGTCAAGGGATAAAACTTAATTAACACAATTAAACGCGCTTAACTAGGTTACACCGCTCGCGTGGAATTCGCTCTGAAGCTGGGCTACACCGAGAGACTGGTGCAGGCAGCCTTGCAGAAGCTAGGCCCGGACCCCGGCCAAAACGAGCTGCTGGCCGAGCTGATCAAGCTCGGCGCCGCTTGCTCGCCGAAATTCAGCGACGGTCCCGAAGAGACCGACGGCGCGCTGGACGCCGACGTCGGCGCCGACGAGGACGGCGGGACGATCCTGGTGGCCTCGACGACGGCGAACGCAATTTCGTCGACGGATCTGAGGCCGGTCGTCGTCGACGGCAGCAATGTCGCCATGAGTCACGGCAACAAGGAAGTGTTCTCCTGCCGCGGCATTAAGATCTGCGTCGACTGGTTCCGCGCCAGGGGTCACAAGGAGATTACCGTTTTCGTGCCCAAATGGCGAAAGGAGGCCTCCCGACCGGATAACCCGGTTGTGGACCAGGAAATCCTGGGGGAGCTCGAGAGGGACCGTTTGCTGGTGTTCACGCCTTCCAGGTTGGTGCGAGTTTTGATTACTTATCTGCGGCATCTCAGAGAGGTCCGAGAACTTGCAGCCTTTTTTTTTATTATTTATATATAACTTTCTTCACGCTGAAGATGGTACATGATTTTTTGAAAGAAATAATTATATAATGTGCAAATCGCTCTGTACGTAAAATGTGCACTATTGCGAGTGAAAGTAATTATGATAATAACATGGAGGAGAGACATGTAAATTATACGAATTAAAATTCCGTTTCGACTATGCGCAAGAAATTGAGGCCGCGGCGATGAAAAAAAAACGGAGATTTAAGACCGAGATTATCGTAGACAAAACGAAAGATACATTTCGCTTCAGTATCTGGACTTGCTTTGCCACCGGCTAATATTATCCAGAGCTGGAATAACCGGCCCTACGTTGATCTATTCACACAGACTTAAATCGTCTCAAGGATTCCCTCCTTCTCAACTTTTTTTTCCTTACAACTTCTCTTCTCGGTATTCCATTTGCAGAAACAGAATCGAGTCGCTGTCGTCGAGTCGCTGTCGTCGAGTCGCGAAATATCCTTTCAAAAAAATATAAATAAATCAATTCATTATTGAGAGGTACAATATCTGATGATCCTCTTTGAGTTTATTTAAATATCAATTAATAAATACATTAACTTGAAAGCATTTATTAAGATTGATCGTGTTTTTTTGCTAATTTATTTAAATTTTTGTGCCATGTCACATATTGTACGCTTTATAATTATTTACAACCATACTATTATGTGATACACGGCACTTATTGATCTAAAACATTGAAGATTCTTTATCTTTGAAATTTTATCTACAGATTGGTAGGCGGAAAACGCATGGTTTGCTACGACGACCGGTACATCCTGAAACTGGCGGCGGAGATAGACGGCATTGTCGTCAGCAATGATAATTATCGAGACTTGGCGCAAGAAAATCCCGAGTTCAGAAAGGTCGTCGAGGAGAGAATCTTAATGTACAGTTTCGTCAATGATCGATTTATGCCGCCGGACGATCCGCTCGGTAGGAGCGGACCTACCTTGGAAAACTTCCTCAAAATCGCTCCCAAGAAGATCGATCCGGCGCCTCCGTGTCCTTACGCCAAGGTAATCCTTTTTTCTCACCCAAAAAATATATTTTTTAAATTGAAATGTATTAAGTTACGTTGAATTCGACGCATACTTTTGAAATTGAATTGAATCCAGTCCTCCTAATTTTTCCAGAAATGTACATATGGAAACAAGTGCAAGTTCCGGCATCCCGAGAGAGGCCCGCATCCACACAAATCCGTGACGGAGCGTCTGGTGGAACACGCTCAGCGTCACTTGCAAGCACGTGGGCCGAGCCTGAGTTTGCCGCTGCCATCCACAACCACATCCGTCTCTCCGCAACATTTGCCGCTCTGCAAGGCCAGGTCGGTCGCGCCACCGGGCGTCGTCCAACCCTTGTCGTCCGTCTCGAAGAGCAGATCAGTGGAAAATGTCACATCTGACTTGTCCGCAACTAGTCCTGCTATGTATAGTCAGCAGATGGCTCCGGCGCAGAATCCGCAAGGTGAGATAATTGTGCAGAATAACGACGGATATCACTTACGGAATTGTTTAATCCGAAAACTGATATTTTCCGCTCATCGAATACATTAAATTTTAAATAATCGAATATGTTTCTTGCTGAAGGCTACCACTCTGTAGCGAGCTGGACCGCGCCGAGAGTGAGCAATCCCGAGCCAGAACCGGCGAACATGCATCGTAAACTGCAACGGCAATTGACTCTGAATCCGGTGTACGATCCGCGACTTTATCAACTCAGGCGATACCATCATCATCATCAGCAGCAGCAACAACAGCCGCAGCAAGCTGGCCAGCCGCCGCAACAGCAGCAACAGCAGTCCGTCATCAGCCCTCCGTGCTCCAGTATGCAGCATCGACCGTTGACGAGACGTGCCAGCAACGAGTCATCGTATCTAGTTACTCCCATGAGGTGAGATAGATTTTGAACGTATCCTCCCAAGTATTTTATAACTTTAACAAGCAACTTCTATACAAAATTATAAATTTTTGAAAATTTCCTTTGATATTTAGTGTAATTTAATGATTTTTCTCGAGTTCTCCGAAAATAAATAATTCTTTGATTTTTAAACGTATTTTAATTGAAATTTACTAAGCCTTTTGAAATAAATTTCATGTTTCTTATTCATGATATCTTTTAATGTACAATTATAGCTTTTATGTTCCTTTTTGAAAATTGAGATGTAATTATAATCTTCCATAAAATACCTTATAAACATATAATAAACTTCACGAAATAAATGAAATCGGAGCGACGCGGAACGTGTTAGATTAGGAAGGAAGTAGAATTGCATAATTTACATCAAGCCTGATTTCAGCTGGGACCACTCCGACTGCCTTCAGCATCATCACCAGCACGTGACACGCATCGCTTCCGCCCCGGATTCTTACAGAGCGTGGCCGCCACACAACACTGCCCTGGTGCCGCCGTCGCGGGTGCAGAGACTGGGCACATCGGATCCCCAGCTGAATCTGCAACCGTCGTCACCGTCCACTAGCCTGCACGTGCCTTGGGGCACGCAGGTTCAGGATGTCCGACGTCGCCTGCATTATCATCTCGCCAACATCTTCCCCGAGGAGCAGGTGCAAACTGTGATGGCGCTCCATCCGCACGAGACCGATCCCCAACAGATTTGCGCCGCCATTCTGGCGATGTTTCCCAAAAATTAGAATTAACGCGATTACGAATTTTGCCGAGTTCACGAGTTCTTCGTAGGCATTCGATTTGGAAAAACCACGTATGTTGTGTACAGTTCTATTTTATCTCCATGAGAATCTTGTATATTGCTGAGAACTCTTGATGCGGAATTCAAGTTTCAGCGATTACCGCGTTAACTGCGACTGTATTGAAGATATTAATGGAATTGATGGAATAATTGCGAGGAATATTCGTATTTTTTTGAAACTTTTGAGAGCTTGGACTTTTCAGCCTGTATTGTCATCGTTGTTCGCACGGGTGGACAATAAAAAAAATAAAAAAAATAAAAAATGCGCTGCTAAATGTGCGGTGAGAATACAGGCTTCTACATTTATAAGTTTCGGTGCGTTTTCGTCCTGCTAGCCGGGAGCTAGCACTCGGGCGGAGAACACGAAAGAGATAAAAACTAATAACAATATGAAAGTCTAAAAAACAGTTTTTTTTTACATAACCATTTGGACGTCTTAGCATTGTTCGAGAGGAATAATCCGTATTTTTATGAGCGCGTATTAGCCTAGGGCATTATAATACAAGTGTTCGTTGTTATTTTATTCTGGGAATAAGCGGTGAGAGGATCTATATTTTAATCTATATCGTTTTTAATCGTAACTCGCGCATTGGTGATTACATCGTCTCACATTGAGCCGATCAATGTTTTTTTTGTTTTTTTTTTGTTTCTTCGATAATATTGGCGAAATCATCTCGCTTTCGATTTCTCTCAATTAGGTTCAAAGTAGATCTTATATAATTTATTTGTAGTAAAATGATTATGATAATTAATATAGCAATATTTAATTCGAAAACAAAAAGATTATTGTAGATGGCTAACAGATTTTTACTTCATCATGCACGATATAATCATTATTGTTGTAAGAGCGTTGTCCGGAAGATAAATATTTGAAAGAAAAATTATTATTTTCGGAAACATACGTAACTGGGATTTCAAGCACTCGTAAACGATATTACGCATTTATCTAGTTAACTGTGCAATATTTATTATTACGCATGAACCAACAAAACATCACAGTTGCTTGTGTTATTGTAGTGGGAAAGTCAAAAATAATGTGCATAATTTATCAGTCTTTGACACTTGATGTAAAACGTGTCATCAATTCAGATGAAAAGGTATACGTTGTTTACGCTGAAACAGTCGTGGCATAAAATTTGAACAATTTGACGATTTACACACAAATCTCTCACATAAAATCACGCTGAAAATCTACCAAGTCATATTCGACAATGGACGGTTTACTTGATAAATGCATAATAATATTGCAAATCTCCGTTAGTATTTTTTTAAATAATTCTTTTTTTTTCAGATATGCAGAACGATACTCTCACTCTCACTGTCATTCTTGTATACGAAACTGAAAGAAATAAGGTTCTTTTTTTCGCGAGACGGTGCTACGAGTGTTACTCGTTCACATTAACGGCTGTGAATTACGGAAAGCCTAATCACACACATATATCGATATGTGTGTGTATATAGTACATATATATATATATATATATATATATATATATATATATATATATATAT